TTTCTTTTTTTTTTTTTTTTGCAGAACCAGGGATTGAACTCAGGTCCTTACACTTGCCAGGGAAGTGCTTATTATTCCATTGAGCCATCTCTCCGGCCCTGGGATTTTTCCTTCTACTCATATTTAAAAAAAAATTTTTAATACTTAAGCATGAACTTCATGGATGACATAAAGTAAAAGATTTATAAAAGACTAGAGGGAAGAAGGTGAGCAAATGTCACCTGTGGCTAACCTAGGGGATGTGGCTAGAGGCAGGATGGGCCCCCAGGTGCACACCCAGAGCCGAGAGACTCCCCACCCACTGGTAATTCAAAACCTTGGGGAAAACAGCTCTCCTTGGCCCAGCCCTTGGGACAATTAGCTGTCACAGACCAGGACCCGGGGCTCACAGTGGTCTCTAAACACTGTTTTCCACACCAGCCACATCAGAATTGCCTGGGAGCTTGTGGATTCCCCAGGGCCACCATTTGAGGACCTGGCCCAGGAGAGCACGGTAGGGCCTGGAAACCTGCATTTTAACAAGGCCCTTGGATGGGGCCTGCTGGAGCTCTTTGTGTCCTGCCTCCACCTGCGGACCTTTGCAGGGTTACTGTCAAGTGGCAGCATCATCAGCAGGAGGACCTCTGCCCCGAGACTCTCCCGGTGAGTGCTGCTGGCATGGACATAGCTGGACACAGGCCCGAACCCATTCTTCACAGTTTACAGCACTCCTGGGCCACCCAGGAGCAGTCCAGGCTGGCAACCTGGCGCTTTTACTGCTCCAAAGCCCCCAGAGAACTGACCTGTGCGGAGTTCTGAAAACATCCACATAGCTCCCATGTCCCTTCATCCATTCATCCCTACCCAGCCTTCCAACTCCAAGACCCCAGAGGTAGACTCACTTACTCGGCCTCCTGTGGGGTGGCGGGATCCGACCAGGTGGCCACTGGGGACTCAGCTGGTGACAAAACCTTGAGCTCTTCAGCCTCATCGTCCTGCGAGGGCAGCTTCTTCCTGGAAGGATCCAGGCATACAGAGGGGAAGCGAATGACTTTGACCCCTGAAGGTCACCCAGAGCCAGTTACTCGGTAGAGGACTGAGGGAAGGGAGTGGTGCTGCCAGAGCGTCCTCATTTGCCCAGAAGGAGGTACAGAAGAGCAGAGAGGGACACAGCCACTCTTGGGACCTCAGTCTCCGCATCTGCTCCTTGGCCCAGCATAAAGAACACAGCAGTGACTTGGTACCTGGCAAACATGGATTTGCACCCCTGTTTGGCATCTTGCCAGTACATGACCTTGGCAAATAACTTAAACTCTCTGAGCCACCTCTGTTTCTCTTTCTGTAAAATGGTTTTGGCTTAAACACCTTCCTCCCCCTCCCACTTTCAGGCTGGTCTCCATCTCAGTTCTCTACCACACCATCTTTTCAGCCACCAGAGGTGGCCGTGGAGTTCCGTGTCCAGCTGATGGTGTGACCTAGCGGGAATCTCATCCTCCCTGAGTTCCAGGCTCCCTACCTGAAGAATGGAAACTATTATCCGAGGGCTGCATGAGGTCCGAGTCTGCCATAGAGCGCTGCACTTGGATGCCTTTGCATATAGGCCAGTGCTGTGTAAAGACTACCTGAACTTCAGGGACAAGAAGCTTCTCTCTCAGCCTGCTGCTGGCCTGAAGGCTGCAGGCTGGAGCCTGGACATTGACAATGGAAGGGGTTCCCTTGATGCTATCTGAGGTTGGCAGTTTAGGAGTTTGTTCATTCTCTGGATTTTTCCACCCTCTGCCTCAACAGTAAGCATAAGTAGCCTTACTGGAAAACCCTAAAACCTGAGAAGAAAAGAGAGCAGGAAAGAAAAATTTGTTACCACCCAGAAAGAAAGCCAGCCCCAGTTTTAGAGAAAAAGACCTGAAAGACAGAATGATGTAGAAATACAGAGCAGCCAGTCCAGGCCAGTACCTACCACCGGGAATAGTACCTCGTAAGTGAATAGACTGAGTGCTGGTGTGGAGGAATGGGCGTTGTTCTGTTGTTGTTTTAGGTTTTGAGTTTTGAGGCAGGCTTTTGCTACATTGCTCAGGCTTGCCTCTAACTCATGATTCTCCGACCTCAGCTTCTCAAGTAGCTGGTCAGACATATATAACTAAGGTTGCCTTTTTCTCTCTCTCACTTTTCTTTTTAATGCATGTGAGGCAAATGCTCTATCACTGAACTATAATCCCAGACTGTTAAAATTTTATTTTGAGACAGGGTTATACCATATTGACTAACCCTGACCTAAAAACATGCGCTCCTCTTGCCTCGGCCTCCTGAGTATCTGAGATTACGCCCAGATTACACTGTGCACCACAATGTGGGCAAGAATGATCATTTATTTTTTTAAGAATGGTCATTTCTTAATGACTTATACAACACATAAAAACATAAAATTCCAGGTGTTAACGCATAACACTAAAAGTCTGGGGTCGTGAGTATGAGTGTTGGTAAATGGATTAGCTCAGAGAGACAAGTGTCAGAACAGTCGGTAATAGGAAGGTGCATTTAGGGCCTGAACCAGAGGATGCCAGGCATGGGTAGAAAATGTGGCACACAAGCACAGCTGGACCCACACAAACGGCCAGCTTTGGGGACAGGAAACTGAAAGGGAAGCTGGGAGTGTCAGGACCAGAGAGCGGTTAGAGAGGCTGACCCTGCTGTGAGGCCCAGGAGCAGGGCACTACACCATGCAAGGTCACTAGCGGGGGGAACACAGGATGGCCTGGCCGGGGTCTGCAGCCACGGCTCTGTGGGAGACAGATGCTGTGGCTGAGTTCTGGAAACCAGGCCGTGGAACCTGGTCTTCTGGGAAAAGCCATGGTTACCATCCACTGAAGCACTCAGGTCAGTTCAGTTTGGCCAGAAATGGACCTGCATGGAACCCTCAACCCGGGTGGATGACGATTAGCTATTTCCCCACAATCCATATGGAAACTGGGACTCCCAGCCTGGTCTCCACAGCCCACTTCTCCCAGTGGAGAGTCAGGGAGGCCTCCCTCTGCCCCTTCTCTGGAGGACTCTATCAGGAGCAGCTGAAATTGGAATGTAATTAGGCGTGCAGGACGAAGCCAGCCCGAGAAACCTGGAGCTCCTTGAAGCATTCTGTTGCAGCTTGTTCACTGATTGCTCAGCAGAGGCTGAGCTTAATAACCTCTCTACGGTATAAATAAACCCTCTACTGTTCTTGGGCAGCTCCTCTCCTTCACTCAAGAGAGAGGACCTTCACCTAACCCAGCTTTTTGTCTCTTCTCTATCTTTCCCTCATTCTTACTGCTGTTCCTTCCTGGGATACAGCGAGAGCTCAGTGGATCCTCGCAGAGCTCTTCGGAGCTGAGCCCCGAGCTCTCCTGCTACCCTGAGCTGTCGAGACCTACATGTTTTTCCAAGTCAGCAAAGGTCCCAACTCAGCCCAGAGGGCTTGGGGGAGGGCTCTGGGGGCAGGGCCTCGGTCCTCTCTGTGTAGATGTCACACTCACTTCTGTCATACAGTCTCATCAGGGTTTCTAGTGGGACACAAGAAGAGGGTCACAGAGAGTGCATGTTTGCTCCAGAAGGTGCCAACTATCCTGATACTTTCTGCCAACTCGCCTAGGATGGCAGCACTCACACACTCACCTCTTTCATGCTCTGGTGGAAGGATAGCTTCTGGGAGGCTGAGGCAGAAGGACGGCAGGTTTGAGCCCACCCTGAGCAACTTAGTGACTTAGGGAAATCCTGTCTCAAACAATTTTTTTTTTTTTAAACTGGAGATACAGCTCAGTGCAAATTCCCACTGTGGCGCAAATCACTGTGTTCAATCCCAAGAACAGTGGAGCAGGTGGGGTGGAAAATAAAAGGGACAACCTCACACAAAAAGACTGGGGCTCAAAATGGTGCCCAAACGCCATTTTTGCACGCGCAGCCCGAGGCCCCATCCTGTGTGAACCAGAGTACAGCACTAGGCTGCAGCCCTCACCCCAGCCTGTGTGGAGCAGCTTGGGGCAGCAGCTGGGAAGCCCTCCCTCTAATTCCAACAGATGGGGGGTCCTGTTCCCCCTCACAGAGGGACAAGGGAGGCCGAGTGAGGGTCCCTGACTGACCTCAAGGCCCGCATCTGATAGGTGGTGAGCTGGAGTCGTGTCACACCCCTAGCCCGGTCCTCCCAAGTCAGCTACACTGTGAGAAGGGCTTTGGCTGATGCCCCTTGGTCAGAGCCGCACTCTCCAGGGCCTTGTGGGTTCCCTCAGTTGCCCCCAGGAACATTTGTCCCTGACTGTTGTGCCCACTGTCCTCTCCCACCTGCCCTCAGAACACAGCCTGCAGGCCAGACTCAGGTGAGTTCAACTAAGCTCTTGTTTGGTATTTGGTTAATTGCTCTCTGTCTCTCTCAGGGCTGGAAGCAAGCACAGGCCCCCAGTGGGCTTCTTCTCCATGCACTTGCTCGCCCAGAGCTGTTCAGTAACTGTGTGCGTGAGGGTGAGGGACAGGACAGGGCTGGGGAGCCTCACAGGCTCAGTGTGCAAGCAGAAGGCCCATGTCACCTCGTCTCCCTCCCTGCCCCTCAAGAGGCCGCTGGCCCAGCCCATGGGTAACTTCTCTGCCCACAGAACTTCACTACCCTTACAGCTTCCCTGCCCATGTCTGGGGAATGGCAGTGTACACCTTTGACTGAGGCAACACTATCTCTGGATCTGCCAATGTGCCAGTGCAGAATTTAGCAAACTGAACACAAGCCACAGTAGAGCTATGAGCTGTGTTCCTAAGCTTAGGGAGATGATGTCTTTTTTCCACTAAGATATGAAAGTTTTCCACATCCATCCATCTCCTGCCATGCTGGCAGGCCCCTGATCTCAGCTCAGAAATTACTCAGGAGCTCACGGATGAGAGCAAGAATGAAGAAACAAAAAACACCTCCCCATGCACCCAGTGTGGAAGGAGCACCAACAGCTCCCCCAGAACAGAAATGCAGCCATTTATAAAGCTCTGTGCTGCACTTCTGGGTACCTAGTTCCAGCTGCCTCAAAACAATTCTAGCCAACCGGCTACAAATGGATTTCAAGAGACATAAAAATGTGCATGGTCTTGACCACAAATCCTACTCGGGAGGAGCTATGGGAGGGCAGCAGGCGGCCACGATGGCTGCATGCCATTATGGACAGAGCCCAAGAAGAGGGGCCTTGTTACTCGGCTCTGCCATGTGGATCTGGAGGAACATCGTGAAGCTGTCATCCCTGAGCACTGAGGGGACAGCCAGCAACGAGGGGAAAGCTCCCGGGAGACGCGAGAACTCAAGCTGGGTCACTCCTGCAATTAAACTGCACAGAATCAGGAACCTGACAGTAAGTATGGAAGAGAATGCAGAAAAATAAAAACATTGTATGGTGTGGTATTAATGATTATTTTTCTAAGGTTCTTTAGTGCTTGTTAGATGCTAATATGCTAATATGAGAGGATAGCCCCAAAAGCACAGGTAGCAAAAACAAAAATAGGCAAGAGAAACTATGCAACATTAAAAGGTTTTTGCACACAAAGGGAACTAAGCAGCAGAGGAGGGAGAAAACCCAACAGAATGTAAGAAAATACTATATTTACAAACTGTTTGTTTGATAAAGGGTTACTATTTGAACTAAATATGGAATTCCTCCAACGAAATACCAAAACACAAACAAAACCCAATTTATTGAACTAAAACTAGGTTTAGGATTTGAAGAGACATTTCTCCAAGAAAGACATATGCATAGGTGCATAGGGCTGAGCGTGCAGCTTGGTGGTAGAGCTCTTGCCAAGCTGCCTGATGCCCCTGGGTTCCATCCCCAGGACCACACACACACACACACACACACACACACAAAAGTGCTCAACATTATTCATCTTCAGGAAATGCTGGTCAAGACCTATAATGAGATATCATTTCATACCTGTTAGGATGACCATGACTTTATTATTTATTTATTTATTTATCTTTTAGTATACTTGATTGTTACAGAGTCTCACTACACAGCTCAGACTCATGGTAATCCTCCTGCTTTCAGCCTCCCCAGCACTGGGATTACAGATATATGCCATTAAGCCCAGACTCTGGCTGGCTCAGCCTACCCTGGGGTGCAGCTGGTATGGCATATGCTGCAGGGGATCAAACCTCAGTCCCTATGCTTGCCTAAGCCTGCCTAAGCAGGTGCTTTAGTCTGCTGAGCTATCTCACCAGCCCATGATCATCACTTTAAAAAACAAACAAGAAAACAAATGAACAAAGTCTTGGCATGTAGAGAAATTGCAGCCCTGTGCAGTTACTTAAAATGTGTAATGGGACAGCTACCATGAAAAAAAGTGTGGAAGCTCGTCAAAAGAAACAGAAACAGAAGCATCATAGGATGCAGGGTATATACTCAAACTAATTAAAATTAGCAAGAAGAATATATGCAGTGTATTATTTGTTGAAACTGTACTTTTGATTTGATTTGAAACTGTCTCATTGCTATATGTTTATCAATAAAACTTTGAAAAGAAAAAAAATTAAATTAAATTAAAAAAAAATTAGCCAGACAGGTGACTCAGGCCTATAATCCTAGCACTTGGGAAGTGAGGCTGGGGCAGGAGGATCACTGTGAGTTTGAGGCCAGTATGGGCTACAGAGTGAGTTCAAGGCCCACCTCAAATGCATAGCAAGATCCTGTCTTTAAAAAAAAAAAAAAAAAAAAAAAAAAAAAAAAAAAAAAAAAAAAAGGAAAGGAGAAATTAGGATCCAAAGGGATAGTTTCACCCCATCTTCCCAATAGTCAAGAGGTGGATCCCTCTAAAGGTCTATCAGTGGAGTAAAGAAAGCATAGTGTACATGTAAGTGGAATGTCACTCAGCCTTAGGAAAGCAGGTGATCCCGTCATAGCTACATGACAACAGTAGAACATTATGCTTTGTGACTAAAACAGCCCCAGGGGGCACATACTAACAATTCCACGCACTAACAACTCCATGTACACGAGGAGTCTAAAGTAGTGAAACCCGTGGAGCTGAGCGTACAGCAGCGCCGCAGGGCTGGGTGGGGAGGAGGGGAGCGACAGTTGCCAGGTCACAGATGTGGAGTTTATCGTGCGAGAAGAGAAGTTCTACAGAGCTGCTCATAACTTTGTGCTTTCAGTTAACAATACTGTACTGGACATTTACATTTGTTAAGAGGGGAAACATTCAGGTGCACCGGGACACGCCTATAATCCCAGCACTCTGGAGGCTGAGGCAGGAGGATCACTGCATTTGAGGCAACCTGTGGTACACAGTGACTGTAAGGCCAGCCTGAACTACATAAGTGAGACCCTGTCCTCCAACTCAAAAGGAGTGTAAGAAATGGTCCAGAAATCTATAATTGTACGAATGTTTAAACAGCATCCTGCCAAAAAATAAAGTAAAATATAAAATAAAATGAGGAATTAGAATTAGTTGTCATATTTATTCTATGTTATGTTATTTTATTATTTATTATAATACTGCATCGTCTCTCTTATTGCTGAGGGCATCTGGGCTGGGGCCTCCCATGAGGACCTTTTACCCAAAGCTCTAAGCCAGGAACAGAGAGAGTCGGGAAAGGGGAGGGAGTCTCTGACCTGAGACCACTGTGCTGGGTGGCTCTGGGCAGCTGCTTCCCCGCTCTGGCCTCAGTCTCTTCACCCACCAAATAGACAGGTGACACTGTGCTGAGAAAAGCCCAGAAGAAGCATAAAGGGTCACCTGTGTGCCTCCGAAGCCGAGCCTGGAACAGCGAGTGTGTCAGATTTGGCAGGCGAAGGCGGCGGCAGCACAGGCGAGGGTGGCTTCTCCTTGATGAGAGGACAGCTGTCGGCATCCGTATCCTCCACCTGCACTTCAGGGTGCTCCTCCGTGGCAGGCACTTGGGGAGAGGAAGGCGAGATAGAGTCAGAGAGGGAAGCAGATCCCCCAGGCCTGGCGGGTCCTTGAGAAAGCTGCATGCAGGGCGCAGGGTTGCAGGGCACGGGGCTGCTGGGCGCAGGGTTGCAGGGCGCGGGGCTGCTGGGCGCGGGGCTGCTGGGCGCGGGGCTGCTGGGCATTGGGCAGCCCACCCGCAGGTTGACCCCAGGTGAGCTCAGTGCCAGAACACATAGGCATGGGGGCCAGGCAGCACTCACAGAGGACATGGGGAGCCACGCCAGGCAGGGAGGGGTGAGGGAAGGAGCTAGGCTGGGGCCAGGACCTGGCCGAGCAGTCTGGTCAGCTGCTTCCCTTCTCAATGCCTTCCAAGCCTGTGGGGTGGCCACATCTCAAGTGCAGACGGTGGCACTTCCCACCCACCAAGGGGAGCAGGTGGCTTCGGTAGGACATGCACTCTCCCGGCAGCCAGTCCTTCCCTGGACGAGAGGCCTGGTACCAGCGGCCCTGCCCCACACCTTGGCAGCAGGCCTCCCTGCAGACCCACAGCCTTACTTAGCTGCTCTCTCCCCTTGGGGACCATGGTGACAGGCTCAGAAGCTGGGCCTCCGCCCCCCACACTGGGAGCACCCAGCATCTGCCAGGCCCAGAGCTGTGCACCAGCAAGGCTGGGGAGAGAGAGCACCTGGAAATAACTGGATTTGTGATCTTTATTTTCCCCCAGTGCTGGGGATGGAACAGAGGGCCAGACCCCACAGTGCAAGCGCTATGTCCCTGAGCCATCCTGCTTCCCACCCCATGTTTTTTTTTAAATGGCCATTTTGGGGAAAACCTGCACTTAGTGCTGTTGCTTATACTTATTTTATACATTGATGGAGGCAACCAAAGGAAGCTGCATTCTGGCATTTGTTTTGCTAAACCCTGAGCCCTCTAGGGAAGAGCAGGAATGGGGGCATTTTTAAAAACTTAAACAGACACCTTTCCAGGTGACAAGAGGTTCCCCAGGCTCTGGGAGGAAGGAGCGGCCTCAGCCTGCTGGCCCACAGCCCTGGAGAAGCTGGGTGGGGAGTGGGGCAGCCAGACCACTGCAGCCCTCACAGGCTCGGGGAGCCAAGGAGGGGCAGGTGCACCCCAAGCCCTGCACGGCCCTGGGTCAGCCCTGCATCCTCCGTCCCTTGGGAGAGGAGGAGAAATCCTAGACTGGTACTCTGTTCCATCTCCCACCAGCTCTGCAGAGTGGGAACTCAAGGTAGAAATGATCCTGGCTGTGTCATGTTAAGGTATAGATTAAGAATAATAGTATTAAAGTATAAAGAATAATCTTACATAAATTGGTTTAGAGAATACTATTTGCTGCCAAGTACCTCTGATGTGCCTGCCACTATTTATTTTGCTAGGCCCTAAGTATATATGGTTTTTTTTTTTCCTTTTATTTGTTCTAGAGGCAGGATCTTTTTATGTTCCCCAGACTGGCCTCCAACTCCTCCTGTCTCAGCCACCTTAATAGCTGAGACTCTAGAAATATACTACCCTATATTAACTCCTCTGACAAAGAAGAGGTAACTGTTACCTTTGTTGCATTTGTGGGAGAGAGACTGAGGCACAGAGCTTCTAGGGCACTTATTGCAGAGCCAGGACTCAGACCCAGCTCAGAAGGTGCCAGGCGGCCTCGCCGCCTCAGGAGCAGCACTGCTGATGTGCCTGCTCATTTCTCTGTCTGGAGCACCTGCGATCACCATGTGCTGTTCCACTGCCGTGTCTGCCACTAGCTCAGTGCCACCAGGAACATTTCCCAGGGTAGGAGTCCAGGGGCCAGGGAGACCCAAGATGGTCTGAGATGTCCCAACCAGGAAAGGAGAACAGAATGAGAATGTGGCTCCTGTTTTAATTCTCTCTCAATCCCAAATGCACAGAGGGAGGACTCAGGTTGGTGCTGCCCCACCTGAAGCCTCTCAGACACAGGTAAAACCCTTGGGGCTGAGAGTCCAGGACTCACCGTGAGCCCATGGACCACTGTAGCCACCAGCAGCTCTCGCTGCAATTTTGTTCTCAGTGTCTGTGGTTCTTTCTATTGATGTTGTCTTTTGATAGCAAACAATGCTGGTTTTCCATTTGCATGGGAATAAGAAGTTTCCCTGTTCAAATACACGTAAATAGAAAAAGAGGATCCAGTGAAAGGAACATAGAAAATAAAAGTAGAATTGGTCCAAATGTAACTATAACCGGGAGCCATTTGCTAAAGTAGATTTAAGAGGTGTTACAGGGAATCACCCCTTCTTGCAGGGGTGAGCCGAGTGCCACTTTCCCCTACCTCATGCCATGGAGCACCAGAAAGGAGAGAGAAGAGGCGGGGTCTCTGATGCTGCCACCCAGACTCATCACCATGGCAGCCACACGTGACAGGCACATGGTGGGGCGATCTGGCTGGAAATGATCATGGGTGAGTCTAGAGGTGCAGTCCTTCCCCAGCACCTTGTGCCCCAGCCCACAGGCCCCTCAGGGATCTTGTCACCACTGAATGGCTCCAGCCAGGCCCTCCCTCTGTGTGGGCCCTGAGGACACACCTCCTGCCGACTGCCTGCCTACACCTGGCAGCTGCTCCTTTCCTGAAATGAGATCTTCTGTCCTTGTGAAGTCCAGCTCCCTAATTACTTAGGAGGCTGAGCCGAGAGGATCTCAAGGCCAGTCTGAGTAACTCAGAGACCCTATCTCAAAATAAGAAGAGGAAAAAGGGCTGGGGATGTAACTCAGCAGCAGAGTACTTGCCTAGTATGTGCAAGGTCCTGTTTTCAGTCCTGGCATCTTCCTCTCCTGCCCCCAAAAGTCCGGCTGTCAGAAGACCCTCAGGGTCAGCAGGTTCTGTCTGTAGTACCCACCCCATTCCTCTTCCATTTCCCTCTTTTTCCTGTCCTCACTTCTTTCATCAGCTTTGTTCAAACTTCATGGCTTAGAGATCCAAGTGAATGACTTGTGAGAGTGTGAGTGACCGCCTATATAAAAAATGATGGTGCAAAAGCAAGTGTGTAACCCAAAGAAATGAACTACTAATTGTAAAACTTCAGGCATGGAAGAAAAGGGACCAAAATCCCTCAAGTGACCACTGCAAAGCAGGATAAAGAAAGAAGGGGGTGGTTTTCCATGATCATAACTGTGGTCCCACCCATGACCATGCACCCATGCAGGAAGACAGGCCAAGCCATGCAGAAGCACACATCACAGCGACAGTGTGCTGGGCAGCGAGGTCACACTACCTAGGCGGCGGATGGAGCTCCTGGTCTCCTTGGCGAAGCTGGAGTTGGACAAGGTTGTTCTCCGGGAGATGAGGACAGGGATGCGGGTGATGGAGGGGCGATAGCTGGGCACGTTGGGGAGGTGCTCAGCCAGGTTTAGGGGACCAGGCCTGGGGACCACCTGGCCAGGTGGCTGGTCCTGGACCAGGCGATTGAGCTCCACATCACGACCTGGGTTAGTCATGGTGCTGGGGCCAGAAGGTCGCAGGCAGACGTGACCTTAGGGGCTGCAATCACAGCACGAGGAGACAACATAAGTGGTGCCAATGCAGAGCAGCCTGTTGCCCACCTCTGTTGGCAGCAGCCTTTTGCAAGGTTGAAGCACCAAGTTTGTCCTGAAGTTCACCAGAAGTCACCAAGCACGTGGCTGGCTCACAGCAGCTCCAATGGACAGCACCAGATTCCCCAACTTTTCATGCTTTCTCTGCTTACCAGGTGTAGTAACATTTTCCATCTTAGATTCAGAAAAAAACCTCACAGAACCCACTACAAATAATCTTCCAGAGCCACAGAACCTTGGGCTCGGGTATTCTTAGCCCAGTAGAATTTTCTAGTCTGAACAATCCTAGAAGTCAATTAATTTCACTTCCACCCAAAAGCAGTCACTTTCTCTAGAGCCCTGGTGCCCCAAGTAGGCTGCATATTGGGATGATCTAAGGAGGGGTGAGCATTCCTGGTGGCCAGGCCTGTCCCCAGTGATCTGACTTAATAGTCTAGATAAGGCCAGATCAGGAATTTTAAAGTCTCCTCCATGAGAATGTAAGCCAGTACAGCCACTGTGGAAATTGGTATGGAGGGTCTTCCAAAGACTAAAACTATCACAGGATCCAGTTACCCCACTCCTTGGTGTACACCCAAAGGAATGAAGTCAGCATGCTCCAGGGATCTTGGTATGCCCATGTTTATTGAAGCACAAATCACAATAGCCAGATAAGGAAGCAGCCTAGCGGCTCACTGGTGGGTGAAGGGATTAGGAAATTGAGGTGTACCGAATATCACAAGGGGCTATCATTCCACTACAAAGAACCAGCGTCATTTGCAGGAAAATGGATGGAACTGGAGGTCATCATATTACATGATATAAGCCAGGCTCAGAAAGACAAGTATCTTATGTTTTCCTTAATATGTGAAAGCTAAAAAAACAAAAACCAGAAAACCAAAGATAACGTGAAAGTGGAAGGGAGCCTATTATTGCGTAAGCAGAAGGGAGTGAAGGGGAGAGGAAGGCAATGGGAAGATGGAGACGAGCAAAATATGTCACACGCATGTATGAAGAGGCCACGGTGAAGCCCGATATTCTAAACTTAATATATATTAATAAAACATTGCATTTAAACCCCAAGAGGTCTTGTTACAACATCGATTAGGATTCTGCAGCTGAGTAAGGCCTGGAGCTCTGCATTTCCACTCAGCCCCCTGGAGCGCCAAAGCTACTGGACCTAGGCCCATGCTTCTGAGTTAAAAGGGTAAAGGGCTACACCTTGGCACTACTGAAAGTGCTGCTCTCAGATCGCCTGCCTGCAAGTCACTTGCAGCCACCCCCACCACACCTGCAGCAGGCCTGGGCTAGGAGGTCGACTCCTGCTGAAGATCACAGAGGACACTTCCCAAAGACCAGCTGGCTTAGGCCAGGGGCCAGGGCCATCTCAGAGGTCATCTCTGTTATCGACTCCTCCCTCGGAGCCACCCACTATGCTGGGGACCTCTGCCGTGCTGTCTCTGTTCCTTGGCTAGCCGCCCATGAGGTAGGTACTGCTATTGCTCCAACTGTCTCTCTTTGGGAACCAGGACTCAAAGGGGTCATCAAACTGGCTCTGGACCACACAGTAAGGAGAGGGAGAGGAGACAGGAGTGAAGACAGGCAGACCTTCTGGACAAACCCAGTACATAGTGAGCCTCAGTTTTGTCATCTGCAAAATGGTTGGTCTGCCCCACGAGGTGGCTGAAGCACCAGCGTTGGGAGGAACATGGAGGTGTATGAGGCACACAATACCACAGGCCTCATGGGTGCAATGGCCTGGCCGTTGCTAGGTTTGAGTAGCCTCTTTCCCATGGTTCCCAGAGTGCTCAGCATTGGGTGGGGTACAAATCCCAGTGAAGTGCATGCTCAGGGTATAGCCTGGCATGCTCAGCAAGCTCACAGAGAGATGAGAGCCTAGCACACACCATCTGCAGGCTCTGGTTTCACTTGTGCCAGATATATTATGTCCTACTAGACTCTTGCTGGGCCCTGGGCCATAATCCCAGGAGCTGCAGTCACACTGAAGAGGAGGTAGTGGGAGGGACTGGCGGAGGCAGGGCTTCCCCAGTCCCCCTGGGAGCCTTAGGGCCTCTGCCATTCCCCTGTGACTTTTGAGAGACACCATTTAGCTGTGACAATGTGGCCCCAAGACACAGAGGATGGGTTTTGCCAAGGACAGGGCTGGTGGGGGCAGCAGGCAAGGAGGAGGTGGAGGGAGGGAAGGAATGGGTGCCCCAGACTAAAGCCTTCCTGGACGTTCTGGCATGTACAGCCCCAGCCCACCTACCTGGTGAGCAGGTGGCTTCGGCCTCCTCCTGCGGCTCCTGAAAAGGAATAGAAGATGCAGGAGCCAGGATGGTCACTCTTCTGACCACACCCATCTCCCCACCATACACTTCCCAGTGCACACCCCTTTTGGATCTTCTTACAAATGCCTAGGAGGCATTTGGGACCCCATTTTCCACAGGTGGCCACAGAGCAGAGGACAGTCGCTTGAGGACTTGAGCCCAGGTCCAGCTATCCGCCAAGACCCCTCCTGACACTGTGTGACCCTTAGAGTGTGACCATCACACTCCTCCTCTGTCCCACAGGCATCTCACCAAATGAATCCCACCCCACTAAAAGCAGTGCACAAGCCCAGTCCTTCACTGATGCCAGCTAAGCCTGCTAGTGTCAGGCACCCATGGCTCTCCCTACCTGCAGCAAGGCCTCCTGGTACTGTGCCTCGTCTACGTCGCTCTTGTCCACAGCTGCTTCTGCCACCAAACAGCTATCCAGCAGGACACTGAGACCCAGAGAACTGGCAGGAAAGAGCAGAGGTTAGAGGGGCTCAGCACAGCCTGAATCTTGCTGACAGCCATATTCTGGGCCAGGAGCAGGGAGACAGAGATGCCCAGTGCCAGATCATCATTTGATAAGGCTCCCAGGGCAGTGTTCTGCTGACCATTGCTACCTCTTAGGTGCGCTCAGCCAGGGACTGCAGGACATGCCATGACTCTCCTGGGAAGGGGGACTTACCAGAGCACGTGGCCTGTGAGTGGAGCCTCAAGGCTAATGATGTTGAAACAAGTGGGAGGTAGGAAAGACATCTGGGGAGGGGTGACAAAATGAGCCAGGAAAAGCATGCAGGGTGTTGGGCAGAGAGGCCCACAGGGTACCATACCTGTCCAGAGCACACACCCATGCTTCCCCCAAGAGTCTCCAGGCCACTTTCGTGCTGCATGCAGGGCAGTTTATAGGACAGTAAGGACCAGAGGGGTGAGCTGACCTGGCTAAAACCACACAATCCCTAGCCCTCAGCCCCAGTTCTTCTTACTCCCTGAGATCAGAGTCACACTGCAACTGTCAAAAATGCCAGCAGTCCCTGGCCCAGGCAGCAGGCATCCATGAGTGACAGAGCCAGATGTGGCTGTTGGGGACGTCAAGGACTACTGTGGACAGGGGAACTTGTGTCCATCTGACAGCAGCAGTCTGCTTCCCTTGGACTGGAGACCCGGGTGGCCAGACCTTCTAATTTTGAAAGGAAGCTAAGTCATACGTTTCAAAGGTGGAACTTCTCAATATTTAGATGCTGATACTTAATTCAAACTAATTTGAATATTACTATGTAAATATCATGAAGAACCTGTCCCCAGGCAAAACTGGGCCTGTAGACTCCCTGTGATTTCTGGATTAAGATGATGGCTCAAGATCAAAGGCTTCACCAAGCACAGAGAAGCCTACCTGTAATCTCAGCACTCTGACAGGCTGAGGCAGGAGGATCACAAGCTTAAGCCCAGCCTGGGAAACTTAGCAATCTAGCAAGACCCTGACTCAAAATAAAAAAGATAAAAAGGGCGGAGGATGTAGCTCAATGCAAAGGCCCTCGTCCAATCCCTAGTACTGAGAAACAAACAAGAAAATTCCCCAAGGGCCTCGGCCAGGCATGATGATGTACACCTGTAATGTCCCAGCACCCAGGATGCCGAGGCAGGAGGATCCACATAGAGTGAGGCCAGCCTCGGCTACCTAGTGAGATACTGTCTTGAAAATAATAAAAATGAAAAGCCCAGGAGCACATGTGGATTTTGCAGTTAGAAACAGTCTTTGCTTCCTAACAGACTCCTGTCACCAAGGGACCCTTGGAGGATCCAGCCAGTGTCTGCCCCCCAGAAGCCCAGCTGTCCAGGAAGGTTCTGCAGTCCTGAGGTGGGTGAGGAGGAAGGGACGGAGCTGTGGCTTAGTCACTTTGGAGCCAGCCAGTTGGGAGATCAGCCTGGGCTGCGAGCCAGGCACGCACCAAGCGCTGCACACGTGGGCTCCCTGAATCTGCACCCAAGTAACCCTGAGAGGCCAGACTGTGGGCTAGGGGGCAAGGGCCCAGAGAGGCCTGATGGGTGGCCCGGGTCACAACCTGTATGGGGAAGCCTGCAAGACACGGCGCCTCTGATGCCCTCTGGGCATCTATATGGCCCCACGGGACAAGTGTCCCAGTGACCCAAGTACCCAACTCACTTTATTTCCACCAGGAAGGACCTGAATAATCAGGAAGAAACCCATTTTATAGATTCCAATCCCAGGGGCAAGGCTGCATTCTGACTCTCACAGCTCCTAACATGGTAAGTTTCATAGGCTCCTCCTCCCCAAAACACTATAACAAATATAGGGCCGAGAGACAGCTCAGTAGATTAAGCATTTGCCTGGCAACCACAAGGTCCTGAGTTCAATACCTGGTACTGAAAAAAAAAAAATTGTATGCCTATTTCTATATGAAGACTAATATGTTGACATTATATCTTCCAACATTTCTATCTAAAAATTCTTTTTTTTATTTTTGAGACAGGGTCTTGCTATGTAGCCCAGACTGGCTTTGAAAATGATCTCCTCCTGCCTCAGCCTCCTACATACTAGAACTACATGGGTATGCCACCGTGCCCAGCCTTTGTGGACTTATTTTAAGGCATTCTCAGACTGGGAATAAAGCTCAGGGGCAGAGCACTTGTCTAGGATGTATGTGGCTTCCCAGGAACCCCCATAAAATGAAACAACAGTAGCAAAACCAAACCCATTGTCATGGGCCCATAAAAGTAACTGGGTGCTGTGCCTGGCACCCTGACACAACGGGCTCATGAGGGCCTTTCCCCAAATTGATCAGGGCTTTCCTTGGCCACAGCACCAGGCGTTCCCTCTGGAGCAGCCCGACACAGGACAGAGTCACTCCCCCCGCGCTGCCACCCGGGCCACACAGGGTGCCCTCTCTGCATCTGGGCCCCTTATGTGAAATGGGACTAACACCAGAACCTGCCATCCTGACTGTCTTAGCACCGTGCATGGCCCAGAGAAAATTCCAGTCAGCTGGTGCCTGGTATTATCATTACTCTTGTCGTTATTCTTCGTCCCAAAGGAGGAGGCAAGCTGCACAGTTACGAAATTCCCCACGTGGACGGGGGAACATCTTACACAAACAGCCTCAGCTACCAACGCACCTAGCAAGCCTGAGCAGCCATCACCGAAGGCTGTCAGGGTGCAGTCTATGTCCAACCTACATCCCCTCACCCCACCCTGTGCCCACCTCTAGAAAACACCCAGGTCTCAGGGATCTCCCAGCAGAGGATCAAAGCCCGGCTGAGCTGGGCTTTCCAAGGTCCCTTGGCCTCCAGCTTAAGGCAGGCTTAGTAGCAGCAGCCAGCTCACCAGGTAACCAGTCCTCTCCTCGTCTCCAACCCCCCAGCAAGCTGTGCCCCCAAGTTAAGATCTTCACATGGTGGCTTGGAACAGACTCCCTCCCCCTAAAATGCTGACCCCCAAGGAAGGAAGGAGGGAGTCCTCAGGCAGAAGCGGTCACCTACTTGGGTCTGTCTGGCTTTGCCGGCAAGGACGCCCATGATGCAGCAGTTCAGCTGGGGACTGGGTCATTCATCCCAGGCCTGGGGTTGGCCCTGCACATGGAGACTTGGCCAGCCCCAGCTCGGCCTGGAGACCAGCTCCCAAGGCAGTGCAGCTGGGTGGCAGCTGAGCCTCCAAATCTTCCTACTTCTAGTCAGATAGAGAGGATGTGCAGGGAACTCTGCAGAAGTGTCTCCGGGGAGGCCAGGTGGGGACCAAAAGGCCACAGTTGCTAGGAAAAGCCGAGCTGTTGCCTGAAGAGATGGGGTTGCTAGGCGACCCTCTGCAATGCCAGAGCCCGCACGTCATCAGTCACCTATGCCTCTGCAAAGCTGGCCCAGAGCATCCTTCCCCAGACAGTGACAGCCCAGCTCTGTGCATCAGGGCCTCGGACCCTCCGGCCTAGGCTTGGGTCTACCCACTCTGTCACTGCAGTAATCCGGTTCTTCCTACACCTAGGGACCAGCAATTCGATGATTTAAAAACTCTGGCGAACCTTTGTGTGAAAGGAGCTGGAAACACACTAGAGAAAACACAGCCTCTTTAATGAAGGAAGCTGGGAAAACTGGCTATCTGCATTCAGAAGATTGAGTTTAGACCCATGTAGCTCACCGGCTACTAAATTAAAACAGAAATGCATCAAAGATCTCAGTGTCAAAGCAGAGACATTTAATCTGCTAGAAGATAAAACAGATAAAACTCTTGTGAAGTGTGGTTCTACAGAATGGGAAAAATCTTTTTCCAGCTATTTCTCAGACAGAATACTAACATCTAGAATATCTAAATAACTCCAAAAAATTATACCTCTCAAAAATAAAAGACCCAATCAAAACATGGGCAGCTGAAAAAAATAATGGGCAGCTGAAATGAATAGACACATCTCAGAAGTACAAATCACCAATAAATATATGAAAAAAGTACAT